AATCCCCCAGCCAGCCATGCTGGCTGGGGGATTCTGGGAGTTGAACTCCAGACATCTTAAAGCTGCCAAGGTTGAGAAACACTGCATTAATCTCAGATGCTGAAGGTTCCCTCTGAATCTGATCCTGCACCCCAGATGAACCTCCATAGCCTGGGAACAGCCAGGAGCCACTTCTAAGAACTCCACGATCCACAAAAGCAATGAATCAATGCCCACGGCAGGCCCAACATGAACTCCTAGACAAACAGACAGGACGGAAACTTGTACATAAAGAGGAGTAAGGGAATGCTGGGTTTCAGGACAGTGGCCTGCCCTTTTAAAAGTGTTCTAGTTTACAGAGGAAGGCTGGTATCTCAGAGAGGATTCCAAAAGTGTTGGAGAAGGCTTCCCATGGTGCTGCAGCCATCAACCTGTCTTCTTGCTCCCTAGCCCCTCTCTGTAGGCTCCGATTTAATCAGAATGAGGGCTACCAGGGTTTTATTTACTCTTTACGCCAGATGCTTTTTACTCTAGGAGATACTGGCCCATTAATTCATTGCCCTTTAATATGCCAAGACTACTGAACAGCTGGACCACTAGCCTACTAGTTGAGGAACTGGAGCTAACAAATTCAACTTAAGGGCTTTGTTCTGCAAACCAAAGACCCTGTCACTAAGAACTAAGCTACCTCCGGTCCCCAATTCTCTGTATGTCCTCCCCCATCAAATGGTAGATTCAAATTTGATGACAACCCTTTATTTTACACTTCACTTATCTCCCTTTTCCTCACTCAGGGATACAGCAGCACCAAAGGCTAAGAATAAACATGAGTTTGCTGATCAAGCCGTCCTGGTTGGTGACAAAGGAAAGCTGCCAGCTCTGTTTTGTTCTGAGGCACAGAGGCGGCAGGTTATCGCCTTATCTCATAGTGGCTGCGGTGACCTGCGGCAACAAATCGTTATTGCAAAGCTTGTAGAAATATTACAGGGCGATCAAATGAAACAGCTCATCCCCAAGCTCTACAGAACCATGGGGTTTTGAAAGAGAAACAGAAAAAGAAAGAAACGAGTATTAACTGCACTTTCAAATATACCATAGCTAAGCCAGAAATACACCCCAGCTCTTTAACACAACCAACGATGTGAGCTTAGAGGTCACAACTCTGTGGTTGTACAAGCAACAAAGAACAGAGAAATTATTTACATCATTTATGCTGGTTGGTAAAAAGGAAAAGGATCTGCAGTAAAAGCTATTAAGATAAAGAAATGATCACCTATGGTATTTCATTACAGTAACTCAAATGACTAAAATATCATTTAGCTCTAAGTTCATTGTCTCCCTCTTCATGCTCATATCAAGCAGAACTCTTTGGTAGTCTTGGGGAATATTCCCTTGCGCGTATCACACAGCACAAAGTTTATCACAAATTTATAATTCTAAATACAGCAAAGAAGTATTCAAGAAGCTGTCTATACCAGGTAAGACCAACTATTGGCTTAGTTCTTTCATTCTACGCAACGTGGTGGATTGTTTTCTGGAAGCAAAACTCCACGAAGAGAGATGCACTACTGCCTCTGAACTTCAAAAGTGTTAATGTTGATGCTTCTCCACTATTGTCTGATTTGGAGTTTTATTTAAAAATAGAGACTACACATAACGTTTACACCAATGCAAATGAAATGGCAAATGCTAACTGAATCAGGGCCAGGCGTTTCAAAATGCATTGCCATCATAGTTGATGGAACAGCCATCGAGAACAAAATGGAAACCAACATTCCTATTCACTGGTCCGCATGTTGAACAGTCTGATTTACAAAATGGTAACACAACCCAACGTTTATAGACATGGTGGTGGGGTCTGTTGGCAAAGCCTGAATTCCTAACCTTTTGAAACTCTGCTGAACAGTACACAAAATATTGTGTTTATATCAGAAACAGTTGGAGATGCGAGCCTTTCGCTTGGGAAAACCATTTTCAAAGTAGGAACTGTTTTCCCAGCTGTGAATATGCCTTCCTGGGAAATTTGTTCAGCCCATTACAAAAATATTCAAAGGAATGCAAAATTATTCAGCCTAATCTCTGCATATAAAATATTTCAGACAAAACTTTCCACACTTTCTTGCGTTTGTTGCCACTGCAGAAGGGTGTATCGATCTAGCAGCAAGGCAGCAAAGGTAAACTGGTAGTCCCTTTATGTAGCAAAGGAATCACACTCCCTTATAGTTAAGTTATGCATAAAAAGCAAGCATCTTCATGTCTCCAGTATCTTCAGGAAGTTGTTCCGCCTCTGACAGTTCTTGTTTTAAAGCACTTACTTATGCCATGAGAAGGCTGGTAAGTTATCAGTGATAAACTGGGTTGTGACATACAGTATCTAGAGCAGTGTTTCTCAACCTTGGCCACTTGAAGATGCGTGGACTTCAACAGGCGGGCTGGGGAATTCTGGGAGTTGAAGT